GTGCCTGGCACATTGGCACCAGGCCGGGCACTAGTACCTTATGCCATGCCGACATAAAAGGGCATAAAATACCAGGCACATTAAAGGTATGGGCACAAAGTGCCAGGCACTGAGAAGGCATGGGCACAAAGTGCTAGGCACAAGGTGCCAAAGCAGTGCCGAGCACAATGCCGGGCACAAGTGCCAGGCACAATTAAATAATAAATATTAAAATTTCTGTGCCTGTGCCTATGCCCATGCCAAACTTTTGTGCCTGTGCCCATGCCTATGCCAAAATTTTAATATCTGTGTCTATGCCCATGCCTAAGTTTTTTCAAAGTTTCATGCCATACCCGTGCCCATATTTTTTTTGGGCACGGGCAGTGCCCGGTTTGCAGAACCCTACTGTCCATTCGAATTGTCATCTTCAGCAGATTTTAATACCATTCAAATATCTTTTTTTTCATCCTTGTATCCAAAAGGTTTAGCAGTTTCCAAGACAACATTGCCCACCCGAATTGCCACCTTCAGCAGATTTCAAATACCATTCATATACCTTTTCACATTCTTGGCTGTACCTGTACCAATTCTGTTGCGAGTGAAATTGCCACCTTCCGCAGATTTCAAACACCATTCAAATGCTTTTTTTTATCCTTGGCTGTGCCTATACCAATTTTCATAACAGAATCCAACAATGTATCGACACCCTAAGCAGATTTGCTGTACCTGTGATACAAACTATAAAAAAGAAAATTACCACACAAAAAAACTTAAGTATATTCAACACGTGAAATTAGAGAAATTTTAGTGTCGAAATAAGCATCTATTATGTAAAAAAATTGGTAGTAGTTATATTGCATTTACGACATTTTTTAATTAGTGTCCAATTAGAGATGTGCCCATGAGCGAGATGTTGATATCATCCTCGCAAAATGAATATTCATCCTGCGAGGTCATATGATATGCGAAATATATGCTAGGTTTATCGCATCTCTAGTCTCTTTATTTTGTGTTTATTCATTTATTCTTTCGCAGGTGCGTGGGATACGTAGTACTGCTAGTAGACCCGAAATGTTCCGATAAAATTTAACCGCCCTTCCGCAATATTCCGAAACAAAAGATTATCTTTCCCGCGAATCACGCCGGGAACCCGCGATTTGCCCATCTCCACGCAGATGCCAACTTTAGGCTAGTGGTTTGAACTGATTAACGAAACCATTAATCATTTAATTGACCCAGTCTCAGCCGATACAATCGAATTAAACTATTTTCATAAACTTCGGGACAAATCTATCCGGCAACTTCCCCGACAGCTATTTTCCCGACAATTATTCCCCGACAAAACCATTTTCACAACAACCATTTCCTCGACATGGGGAAATGGTCATGCCGGAGAAATGATTGTCGGCGAAATGGTTGTCGGGAATAGTGATCCAAATCGAAAATCGATTAATCGTTTAGTTGGTCTAGTTGACAACTAATCGATTGGCTAAAATAAACCATCTATTAATCGATTGACCAACTAATCGATAATCGATTAATAAAATAATCAACTAATCCATTAACTAACTAGTTAATTCTAGTTAATTAGTCGGCTAGTTAACTAATCGAGTAGTTAATTTTATGATTAAAGTAAATTAATATATTAACGTTAATCAATTTATTGCGGTTTGCAAAAAAATGTAAAATTTGATGATCAAAAAAAAAAAAAAGAAATCGATGAATTCTGATTGATTTCCGATTTTTTTAACATTTTTTTTAGACTTTTAGATTAGACTTTAAGATTAGGCTTTAATATACATATTTTGTAAATCTTATGTACATTAAAGTCTAATCAAAAAGTCTAAATAAATATTAAAAAAATCGGAAATCAGAATCAGAAATCATAAGCTGTGTAAAAAATTACTTTAGCAATCAATATAATATAAAAGTTCTATTACAATAAAAAAAAAAAAACTACTAGCATTAAATGCTTTTCTTTAGCATTAATTAATTACTGTATTTGTCAATTTCTTTTTAGTCTTGTATACAAATTACAAATAAATAAACTCAAAATTTTCATTGTAACTTCAAATAAAAACTAAATAATAATACCTTGGTGCATAAAATCTTTTAATTGAGCCTATTTTATATTATAAGCCAAATTTTCAACATAAACGTGAACTCTTTTTGTGATCGTGAAAAGTTTATTGCTTTAAAATAAAATGAGATAAGATCATACTTTTCGAATTTTTTTAAAGCTGGATATAATTACCACTACTAACAACAAGCTTTCGTATACTACTCTAAAAAATATAGTGTTAAATTCTCTTTATATAATTTCTAATAAACTAATCGATTAATTGACTAATCAGTTAATATCAATTGATCGATTAATCGATTGTCGATTAACTGGTTAGTCGATTAATCGATTAGTTGAGCTTATCCAACTATTAATCGATTTTTTAAAAGGCAATCGATTAACTAATCGATTGCATTTTTTGTCCACTAGTCGGGAAAATGGTTATGTTAGGGAAATAATTGTCGGGAAAATAGTTGTTGGAAAAGTGGTTGTCGGGTAATTATCGGTAAACCATCGATTCGTCATTGAAAATTTTTCAATTATCCCAGAATTTATGAAACAGATATTTCGGTTGATCTTGATTAGCCGAATCAGTCGGTTCGAACGCATTAGCCGGGTAGCCAATTCAATAACCAATCTGATATACATTCGACAGGTCAACTTAAAAATTGTTGGTGACCGAATCTATAAGTTTCTGGAATTGAATCCGGATCGGCAATTTATCGATCTGGTCATCGGATGATTTTTCAGTCGCCCCAAATTTGGGGGTATGGACTAGGAAAACCACTGTTTGGCACTTTCTAACCAATTTTGAGATTTTTGATTCTTGATTTTTTTTAAATACATTATGATTTTGTTCCACATCAATTAATAAATTAACTAGATATTTAATTGAAAAATCAATCCTTTAAGGATGTTATGTGGTCCGGTCTTAGACTAATGGACAAAACTTACTCTAGATATCCGGGCTATCGAAAACCCTACCATAACTAATTGAATCCTATGAACGATCCTCCTCCTAACTTCTCTCTGGCGGTGGTGAGTGGGTATTTACGACAAAGCTAGACTTGCGTCGAGCTAGCAACAAAGACGAAAGAGAAAGAACAAGATTCCATTTTCCCTTTACATAACCATTTTCAATGGCCTCATACTTTCCATCACCATTAATCATATCATCATTCCATTTATCAAAAGATACGTCATACTTACTGGGATGTGATCTCGTGACAAATGAATGCCTCATGACTTCGTTCACGGCATCTCATGAAATATGTTTCGCCCAATAAATAACGGAATTTCTACGCGTCCAATAGAACTGGCGGAGAAAAATTAGTAAACCCGCATATCTATTTTTAAATTATTAGTATAAATATTTATTAAATGATTTTCACCTCTTAGCGTTAGAAGCCATTTTCTTCTCTAACACTAAAGCTAGCCAATCAAATTCAAAAAAAAAACAATAATACTATTCACATGCAGGGCTGTGGCATACTCCGGAGCTGCTCTGGAGTGAGGATGAAGGATATGATTAAAAATCTGGAGTGAAACCGGTACAACTCTGGAGTAGCAGCCCAACCAAAATTAGAGACAACCCAACTAATTATCAACCCTAGTCACATGATCATCTATAACTAGGGTTGATTCATTAAAATTTTTTTAAATGTAAACGTATGTACATACGTACATAACATTATAACCAATCATATTTGATTAATAAATAAAGAGCTGCCCATTACAATTGGGTGCTCGTTTGTAAACATGAGTATAAAATGAAATCTGAAACCTTTGTAGGCAAGTTTTTATTCGTCGATGCACATAATGGCGTAATATAAAATGGTATATATTAAGGTGTTATACAGTATACATAAGTATGACGTATAAATATACGAACAAAATTATTCAAATGATTGTAAATTCTAAATTTGCCGATTTTTAAACAGTTCGAGTTATATCTAAATTTGTAGGTTTTTAATCAGTTCGAGTTATAACCTTTTTTTTTTCTGCCAAATTCAATAATATATATTCAATAATTAGAAGGATGTTATTTTTAGTGTTTTTCTACCTTATCCCACATATAGATTGTATAAAAGCCTATTGGGAAAAAAGGCTTCTTTTTTAAAAAGAAAATCAATATAACAAAAAAAAAGATATTTTTAACTTTTCTATGAACTTAGTTTAATGTCTTAAATGTGCAATTTATATATTTTTAGGAACTGTGGCAAGTTTGAGAGTCCCCGAATTTTTCAATCTAGTGACTCGATGAGAAAATGCAATAAATCGGAATTACTAATTATTCCATAACATCCCACGGTCTGCATTAAAAAACGATTCTGCTAATTATAGGTTTATAAATTTATCAAGTTTTTTTTTAAAAAAAACAAATCCGGGCAATTTCGATAAAACAGATCTCGCATAATTAACAAATATGACGTACGTACGTATCAGATATACGTGGTAATGAGACCAAATGTAGTTTATTTAAATAGAGAGGCATACGTATTAAATTTATTTTAGTTTATTTTAGAAATAAAATTCGTAAAATAGCCATTGACATGCATGCGCATCAATCGGTTTGTGGCACATGAAACAATTAATAACTTTAACATTCTTATCGTTAAGTGAATGCGTATTCTTATGATTATATCCCTCTTATGGTAGTAACTGATAATTAATATACTTTTCCAGTTAGCGTTTAGCATTGTCATTATCGTCTTGATCTTTTTTATTTACTATTTATCATAAGGCTCTCATACATATCGATATGAATTATTTATAGATGAGATGAAAATATTGTCTGCCACTCTCCCCAAATTTTGGCAAACATAAATACTCGTGTCAAATATGGTAAAAAAATTTTTTTTTTCAATTTAACCCGTCAGTTTTCTCTTTCTTTTCATAATTACTGCATTTTTTAAAAATTTACTACCATTTTTTAAATTAAAAAAAAAAAAGTAAAATAATGTATAAAAATATTGATAAAAAATTCATTGGTATGTCGTTGATTTTTCTATTATGATAACGATAAATCTTAAGTTCAATTGTTGATTAATCAGAAATATTTTCTGCATTTTTCATATTATTTTTAATGATTGATCAGGTTGGAATAATTTGAAAACAGCACCCAGAGGAAATGTTCGAGAATTTGTCGAAAAACATAATGGACATACAGTTATCACAAAGATTCTAATAGCAAATAATGGTATCGCTGCTGTAAAAGAAATTCGTTCCGTTAGAAAATGGGCTTATGAGACATTTGGAGATGAACGTTCTATCGAATTCACTGTTATGGCCACACCTGAAGATTTGAAAATAAATGCTGAATATATTCGCATGGCTGATCAATATATAGAAGTTCCTGGAGGTTCTAATAACAATAATTATGCAAATGTACCTTTGATTGTTGATATAGCGGAGCGAACAGGTGTTCATGCTGTATGGGCTGGATGGTGAGAATTATAGCATTTGAAATTTGTTAAATATAAATACTTTTTCTATATATTTTTAGATATTAACTTATGTTACTTTATTTTTAGGGGACATGCGTCAGAAAATCCTCGTTTACCTGAAGCACTTGCACAATGTAAAAATAGGATCGTATTTATAGGTCCTCCTGGTTCTGCTATGCGTTCTATTGGGTCATCTTGCAATCTCAATGCACTGTTCATGATGTTATTGGCAACAGTACCTGTTCGATC